AGAGAGAGAGAGAGAGAGAGTCAGGAGGGGCAGAGGGAGAAGGAGAGAGAGAATCTTAAGCAGGCTCCACACCCAGGGCAGTGCCTGATGTGGGCTTGATCTCACGACCCTGAGATCATGACCTGAGCCAAAATCAGGAGTTGGAGGCCTAACCGACTCTGCCACCCAGGCACCACCTACTTCCTGTTTCTACTAGAGAAAAAGAACTGTTTCTTGCTTCGTCTAACATTATGGCTATGTAATTTTAAATTTTCTAGTAGCTACATTAAAAAAAGTAAAAAAGAAACAGACAAAATGAACTTTCACAATGTATTTTATTTAACTCAATATATCCAATGTCATCATTTCAGCATATAATCAATATAAAGAATCATGAGCTATTTTTCTTCCTTTTACTTTTTCATACTGAATCTTCCACATCTGGTGTACGTTTCACACTTAGAGTACATCTGAATTTGGACTAGCTGCATTTCAAGTGCAATAGCCACTGGGGCTGATGTCTACCACACTAAACAGCACAACTTTATTTTTTTAAAGGTTTTGTTTATTTATTTGACAGCCCAGAGGGTCTAAATCTATCTAAATCTATCTAAATCTATCTCTGACTTCCAAGCCTTCCACAATTGAGCCTCTACTGGCTCATTTGGACTGTTCTGCATTTGTGCAGTCTCCCTTCCCACCCTGCATACACACCATGTTAACCTGGGACTTGGAAGACATATTTCGCTCCTGTAATTTCACTCCTGTACTACCTACCCTTCCCGTGTCAGCTCACCAACTCTGAAAGATGGGCTTTTCTTTCTTTCCTGGTGCTGCTCTATCTCCAGAACCATTGCGAGGGTCTCAGGGACAAGAGCTATGCCAATGATTTCTCTTTATCTTCCCATACAGTCTTTTGGAGGTTCTTTCTTGGTGTCGGGAGCCCCATAAATCAGTGACCCATCTGAGCTGGCATCAGAGGAAAGATCAGGGCGCTCAAAGAAAGGGCACTGGACAATGGCCTCCGAAGCACCCTCTTCCTCTGAAAGGGAAGGAAGGCAGCTGGCTGAGCACATGACAAAGCAGCAGGCTCGGGGCAGCCTGGTACGTCAGAGGCCATCAAGGGATGTTTTGTTGGAAGAATGGATCAACTGTACTTCTAAGTCAGTTTGAGCCCAAAGCAGGGTGAGATTGACAGACTGCTCACCACACGCACAAAACAGACACACGTAGTATCTTGCAGATAATATGTAAATGCTGAGTGTAAACTCGGTGGCAGAATAAAAATGGATATTAATGGTTGACAACTAAAAACCGCTCAGTCTCGGAATGATCTTTTCCAACATTCTATTTTTCTATCTGAAAAGAATATATTTTCCAATGTCTTCTATGTTCCTCTGGTGAGAAAAAAAGCAATTAAAGACTCATTTTTGATTGATCCCTTCCAACATTTTACCTGTTTTTCTGTTCGAAGAAAGCGTATTTTTCAGCTTTTTTGGTTTTCCTCTGATGAAACATTGGAGCAGTTTTGGTTCTTGGGTTTGTTTTTTTTTTTTCCATGTAATTAAGCTGATTAGTATCCCATATGGAGTGGAAACAATTGGTTTCACGTACACTGGTGTACAGTTACCCACAGAGCTGTAATTGTTTACATGTTTCCCATTTCCTTGTGGAAATTTTTAGACTTTGTTAGATAAAGATCTGGCAGACTTGAACTCTGTGAACATTACAGCCTCTGGTTATCAGACATGCCTGTATCCTGTTCAGTGGTATGAGATGAAATAGGTATTCTACAGTTTTGTACAGAAGGAACTTTGAAGATGCTCGCCCAGCATCCATTTCCTTTTGCCTGTTTCTGGCAGCCCCCTGATTTTTGTTCAGGGAGTTCTGCTCAGGCCCATGCGGCCTGAGGTTTAGGGAGTCACCTCCACACTGCAACAGCGTGGGCTTGACTGGTCTGAGAATCCTGCCCCCTTGCCACAGAGATTCATTAGACGAGGAATCCAGACCTGAGACAATTAGTGTGTGGCATTCCTCAGGCCATGGGGATTGGTTCAGGAAGGGGCATCTGACCAAATTCTGGCCAATGAGATGAAATGGAAGGTTTGGCAGGAGTTTTGGGGTAAGAGGGTCTCGGTCTTAAGAGTGGTGTTACTGAGCCAAGTGGTCCCTCTTCCTGTGGACAGTGTTATGGTCAGACTGAAAAGCTAGGAGATGCTATGGTCACCTTGCTGTTGGCTTGAGTATGTTGCCAACCCAGAAAAGAGGGACGGACCAAGCAAATGATAGAGAGGCACTTTGGAGGCTGATGGAACCACACTTGATGGCCACTCAGCATCTGGACTCTTCTAGTTACGTGGGCCAGCAAATCCCCCTTTAGGGTGTGAGCCGGTGAAGTGGAGTTTCTGTCACTTTCTGCCAAAAGCATCACTACTGATATAGACGATTTTACCAAAGAAATGTGAATCGAAAAATGAGAAGTCAGGTTAACATAAACGTGTAGATGTGCATAGGAAATACAACGGAAAGCAGACCTGGGTGGCGTATAGTGTCCTGCCACCCCTACCCCTACCTCCTATCTTCCGAATGAAGAGATGAGCTCCTGGAGTTTCAACAAAGCTTTGAAGTGACATAGCCTTAGCATTCCTGCTGGGCGTATAAACCTGAGCTATCCACAAAAATCCGTCCTTTGACAACTTCCTTCAGAAAAGTTCTACGGGCAACTTGGTATCTGAACTTACCTTCACCTAATCTTAGCAGCTAAGCCCTAGGCCTCCTACTTTTTTGCTGTAGTTCTTGTAAAATATTTGAACAGAAAATAGTTTGGTGTATCTCCTGGTTTTTGACGCAGGTTCTGTCTTGATAACCTTGCCCTTTTTCTTGAAGTGGCTTGGTTTTTCTTTATGAAGAAATGCTTAAGAAGATAAGTCTTTCCCTTCCCTAGACGTGAGCATGGCACCCCGATAAAAATAGTGTAGTCAAATTCTGTCTGAACCTCACTCTGTATTCCCAAGCAACTTGTCAAGATATTTTGCTAAACATCTTGGGAGTTCTCCTGCCAAGAATTCTGGTGGCAGTTGTCAGGCTATAAAATTGCAATCTCCTGATTACCAATGAATGAACAAATGAATGGTCTCTCCAGTGAGGGATGACATCATACTGTATAGATTTACTGCTACTCTTTTGAAGAATCTATTGCAGTCCTGGTTTAGAGTGCTACTATATTTATTTATTTATTTATTTATTTATTTATTTATTTATTCACTTTTAAGAGAAGGAGAGAGGGGTGGGGACGGGGAGAGGGAGAGAGAGAATCTTAAGCAGGCTTCATGCCCAGTGCAGAGCCTGACACAGGGCTCGATCCCACAACCCTGAGATCATGACATGAGCTGAAATCAAGAGTCAGATGCTTAACCAACTGAGCCACCCAGGCACCCCTTCCTTTATCTTTTAAAATGGCTCTGAACTTTCTGAAGTTTAATAATTAGAATGGAATATTTTACAAACTTTCCTCAATATTCACCAATGAGTATTATATCATTATTTACCATGCAACTATTATTTTGACACATTGCAAAGCACTGGAAATATGGCCAGAGTTACATTTGCCTAATTATCTAACCCTGGAGTTTCTTTTTAAAGGGAATGGTGTGGACAAAGGGAATGCATAAAGCATATTTCAGGGAAGAGTGAATTGACCAGTCTGGCCAGAGTAGAGAACAATGGGGAATTTTTTTCACAAGGTAATGTAGAAAATCTTAAAACCCAAACCAAGAAGTTTGGATTTTTCTCTCATAGGTGTGTGGTCCTAGGTATGGGAGGAATGAGGACTGCAGGCCTTAAGAAGGTGAATCTGGTTGCAGAGTGCACGACCCTGAGGCTGGGGCCCATTTCGGATGACATGAAGTGGTCCATGTGCAGCTGGAACAGCATGACTGCAAGTGTGGCAAGAACAGTGGGAATGATGAACGAAGATGTTAGGAGGACAAAGAATTGACTTCCCTTGGGGACCAACTGGATAAGAAAGGCATTAAGAGGGCATCAAAAGTGATCCTAAGGCTCCAAGCCTCCATAATGTGTGGGTGAAATTACCACTGGAAAAGTCAGGAAATGCAAAAAGGGGAGGCAATATTAGGATAAGAAAAGGAATCTGTTTCCTGAACGACTGAGTTTGAGGTGACAGTAGGACAATGAGGTAACGCTGCCCATCAGGCTGTTGGAAAGATGTGACTAGAGGTGAGAAGAACAGTCGGCTGGAAATAAGATCTGGGAGCTGTTGCCTCCTCAATTTCTCTTTCCTTCCGAGTAAAATCCCACCTGTGTTTGGGTTGCAATGGCCCAGATGGAGAGGATAAGTCATGACTGGCCAAAGTCCAAATATGATAACTTAATTCCCTTTGGTTGGTCAAGCAGTTCTGGCCAATGGCCAAGGGGCTTCTAGGAAGGATTTTCTTCCTGATAAAACAGACCACCATGAGAAGGCCAATTTGCTTCCATCTCTTTCCTTCCTGCTTGTGATCCTATCAGGAGAGAATGGGATTGTTGGAGAGATGTGCCTTGGCACATTGAGAGGTATGGCTGCCACGCAGATGGCGACAAAGGGGAAAGATGGTAAGAAGAAGCTTTGGTCACTGGTGTCCTTGTTGGTCTGCCGAACAAAGTCTGGAATTGCCTACACCCAGCCTTCTTGTTACACATAAGTTTATTAAATGCCTTCATTACTTACGTTACAGCTAGCTGGTATTTTATTACCTTCCCCTGAACATATCTCAACTGAAACAGGTGTAATTACTAATGTCCGTGAGAATGGACGTGAGCTGAGAGGGAGGGAGTAAGAGAAAGACAAAGCCTGGAGATACACCCATATTTAGGGGATGGAAGCTTTTCACTAATTAAACTTTGAGATTTTTAATAAAAAAAGCTACGTAGGAAACGTGTTGTGATTATGAAAACATACCACACACAAACACACACGCCTACACCCTCACTCCTCGAACCACATATTCCAGAGAGCGTACGTTCCAAATGAAAGGGCAAAAAGGAGATGGGTTTCAGTTTGGAGCTACAGGAGGGCAATTATTTCTCTAATGTGATTTGCTTCCTGTAGCTAAAACGGAGTCCCTTCAAATGAGATTGTTTGCTAAGTGAGGCGTCTCCTTCCTCTTTCACCCTTGGATGAATTAGGGAGCAAGAGGAATCAGTCAAGGTTCCTCGCTGTGATGGGCTAAGGAGCTCTGTGCATTCCCTGTGGATAGCGGTCTGCTGCTGGAGAGGCCACAGGCTGGAGCAAGGAGCTGACTCACAGGGTAGGGAGAAAATGGCCTGGATCTTTCACAGAGGTAAGCAGTGTCCGATTGCGCTGGAGGGGAGGGGAGGCGGGGAGGGAGAGGTTGTGACAAAGAAAGCCCTATCTATTCCACCGAGCAATTAATGCCATTATTTTTCTTCAAAAAGCAGTTTCTCTTCAGCCATTGAGGATCATTTAGCCCTCATCTTGACAGAATGTACTAATGACTGCTAATGGATACATTCTTGTAATAAATGAAGAGGCACAGGAAAATTGCCCGATATTAAACAGAGTCCCACATGTCTTATCTGAGCCTATAATGGCCCTATCAAGTGACCTAAGTGAAAGAAATGTGACTCTTCAGGGGTTAAAGGAGTCTATTTCTCCTTAGTGCAATATAAATTCACTGCTAGGAGGAATAGTAATTCATTGGTCTATCCTAAGAAATGTGTAAAAGGGGGGCCATATCTCAAGTTAAATGATGCATTTCCTATTGGTAGCAAAGAAAATATGCAATAGAACCTCTGTGCACTGTGGATTTATATAAATAGCCTCTTATCTGGCAATGGAGCCCGAAACTCTTTTGGGTCTCTGATCCTTGACATTTCAGCCCTGAAGTCAAAGAGCCTGGTAATTTGTCATGAAGTTTGTCCATTCTTTTTTTTTTTCAGTACCTTCCAGGGTGGTTTTTGTTGGTGGGTTTGGTTTGGTAATTTTAAACTCTATTCTTGGAAATGTTTCTCAAGATTCAAGTAATCCCTACTACTCTACTTTTGGGGGGCACTTCTTAAAACTTATAAAGAAGTCCAATATATCAGTAAGAAAAAGACAAACAACCCAAAAGAAAAGTGGACAAGAGAAATGAACTAGAAAATTAAGAAGAAACGGCCAATAATCATGTGAAAAGATGAATGATCTGCATTACAGTTTCTGCAACTTTCTGTTTTCATGCAACACTATGACTCTAAGCTTCATCCATTCATGTTTTGTGTGTGGCAACATTCATTTTCACTGTTGTAATAATATTTCTTTGGGTGAGTCTACGATTCTATTCTCCCACGTAAGCATGAGTCTATAATTATAATGCTCAAAAACAGCTGCAAATCACATAATAGATTACAAAAAAAATACTTGACAAAACGATTTTTAAAAAGCAAAGTAATGATAAAAACAAATTGCAGGATAATATTTCCTTGGGGAAAGGGGAGCTTGACACCGGGGATGGGATGAGAGAATGTATCTGTTGTCTATTGCTGTGTAACGGATCACGCCAAAACTTAGTGGCTTAAAACAAAAATCAATTGCTCGTGATTCTCTGAGTCAACACCTCAAGCAGGGCTCAGCAGGGCTGGCTTGTCTCTGTTCCACACAGAACCATCTGGTTCTGTCAAGTGACTGCATTCAGTTGCCCTGGGCTGCAGGGTCAAGATGGCCTCACCCGCCCGGCTGCCGTGCCTCGGGCCTTTCCCTCTTGGCTTCTCTCTCCATGTGGTGTCTCATCCTCCAGGTCTTCTTTTTCCACGTGGTCTTTCCCTCCAGCATGGTAGCCCGGAGTTCTTTACAAGGAGAAGGCACCCACACAATACTTGTTTAATTAAAACTTGATGGCAATTAAAATATATTACCTAATGAAGGAGTGCTCTGGGACCAGATACTTTTTGGAAATGCTGTCTGTATATAGCATCCCCTCTTAGAGATTCATAATGAAAAACAAACAAACAAAAAAGCTTCCTAAAGGCTCTGCGAAGTCTTGCAATGAGCAAAGAAGAAAAGACCTTTGGTGAAAGCAGCTGGTACGCAAAGGCAGAAGTGCTCCATCTTCTCTGTCCTCAGGGATAGAGCAAGGTAGGCCTGGGTTAGAGAAAGCTAGAAGGCTTGGGCCTGCCTTAGGAGAACCTCCTCATCATTTGAACTCCGCTATTTCTGCCCCTTTCTGGGTACAGTGTAACCGGGGGTGGCTCTTTCTGACTGCCGAGGCCGGCTGCACGCATGTAAAGCCTGCAGGAAATGGCCTCGAGGTCAGAGAGTCAATGATGCTGCTTCTGGAATCAGGTCACCTAGGTCTCTGCTGCTCCCCACTGCTCTGCCATGACCTGGTCTTCAATGAGCTCATCTTCCTGCCTCCTAGCTCTCATTTGCTTTAACCCCTCTGACCTGCTTTGATCAATGATCCTGACCTCTTTATATTCGTGGACCTTCCGTTTGTCCCTTCTGCCTGGTGACCAAAAGCTCCTAGGACTTGCTTTTCTCTCTTCCTTTCCTTTTATTAATCTGAAAGTGACTCCATGCCAGTTTCAACAAACTCAAATAAGACCCCAAAATGAAAGCCTCCCCTTGTCTGTTCCCATCCCATTGTCCCACTGTCAACAGCTGAGTTTCCTTCGAGATGATTTTCTGTTTACATAGACACACATATGCGTGTGTGTGTGTATATTTGAACAAAATGGGCACGAACTTCCATAATCTTCCTTTCCATTTACTATTATATCATGTACATAGAGTCTTTCCAAGTCGGTGCATAAAGACTCATGTAACTCTTTTTAATAGCTGCAGTACTCCAAGGTACTGAGCTTCCTTGATTTATTTAACCATTTCCCTCTTGACCAACATTTATGTTGCTCCTTATTTTCTACCACTGTAACCAGCATGGCAGTGATCCTCCTTGTACATTAATCTTTGCACATTCATGAGAGTGCTCTGAGAAACAAGTTTCCAGAAGAAGCAGTGCTGGATCTCAGGGCATGCCTTGCCATCCCTGTCCCACTGCCCTTTTGACCCTGATGTCCTAGAGACCTTGGCTGTCAACCACCTGTGTGCCCGGACCACTCTACAGCTCACCCATTCCAGGACCTGTCTTCCTTGCCCCTCCTTGGAGAACCAATCCCTCATGGCCTGCTCTCTGGAGCTTTGCCCTCGCAGCCTGAGTTGCTCTTGTCGGTTGATAGCTAAGCCTCAGTTCCTGCCCTTGCCACATTGTGTCATTGCGATTTTCCTACTTGTCTAATCTCCCCACTAGTCCAGAAATTTCCAAAGGCTCCATCAGTGTCCGGCACAGGGCTTGGAACTCACGAAATGAATGGTTGAATTCATTAGCCAGTTTAAGTGAACTCATACTGTGCTAAACAGCTATGAACAGAACCAAGTTCCCTGTTCTTGAGTGGGCGGAGACACAGTCAACACATAATCGTAAATCATTGGTCAGATGATTTGGTGCCATAAGTGCCGGAAAGAAAAGGTGAGGTGGATCTGGCGCTGGAGAAAGCTATTACTCACAGATGGATGGATTTTGAGCAGAGACCTAAAGGAGGTAAAGCACTGAGGCTGCTGATTGTCTGGGAAGAACTTTCCAGCCGTGGATGTATGAGTGACCAAGGGAGGCCAGGTAGAGGGCTCCTCACTCCCCGGTATGACAGGAGGATTCCCCAGAGGCCAAAAGGATCAAAACAAAGCTAACTCGGTTTGGGAGCCTAACATGGATGTTCCAGCTTGGATTCCCAGGAAGAGCCCCCAGAGACTAGTGCGTAGAAGGTTTATGAGGGGAAAGGAAGGGACTTGTGGGGAAAGACAGCGAGACTGGACAGAGGGAAAAGTCTCAGAGGGGGTGTCCATCAACCCCTGGGAGTTCTGAAGCCAGATGACCCTTCAGAGTGGTCCCAAATCGGAGTGAGGGGGCCCGACCTTTTTGCCTCGCCTCAGTCAGTCATCAGGTACCAGCCACGCAGGAAGGGGTACAGCCTTGGGTGCAGCAGTGTATTTTAGCCATTGCCAGCCCCAAGGAGGGTCACAGCTGAAGGGCTGGCTGCGGACACACTCTCAGCAGCTGAGGGGGTGAATCCTTTGCTCCTGAAGAAGGTGCTGGGTGGGCCCGCACAGTGCTTATCACAGGTGAGATAGGTGGCCTTTGGAGAGAAAGGAAGAGGAAAAGTTGATGGCCTGGGCCCCTTTGCTTGCAGAGTCCTTTTCCCTTCCCCAGCTGACATCTGCAGGCGGCATTCCTCCAGCTTCTGTAGGAGCGCCTCAGGCTCGGTGTTAGCTGTTTCTGGCCAGGCCAGTAGGAGCCTTGGGCAGGATCTCCGGAGCCCCTGGGCTCTGGTGAAAGTACTGTGGTAAACGCCAAATGCTCAGATCTCCTTCAAGGAAGGACTTGCTGCCCCACGGCAGGGGATGCAGTCAGCAGCTGGCTTTCAGTCGTCAGCTCCCGCAGGGTCAGCCTGGCTGGAGGTCATGCCTTTCCAAAGCAGCCCACAGCTGGCGACCGAGGGGGATGGGGTAGTCAATGCCTCGCCATGTTGGCTTGATGCTGGACACTCGAGTGGGCAACCCCCCTCCCCCCGGACTTGGCTGAGCTTTAGTCTGCAAGGCAGTGCCCTTTCTTCCTCTGACGTCCTGCTTCTTCTCCTTCCCGTTCCCAGGGGTTGACCCCTAGTAAGGGTCTTACACCCCAAACTATGCTTAGGTCTGCTTTTGGAGAGTCCAACCTACAATACCACTTCTTCCCCCTGTCCTTCCTGCCTTGAAGCCTAGTGGCTTCCTATGGTGCTGATCTCTGGGGGGCCCCACCATGCCCGTTTGGCTGCCCAGATTTTCCATTGCCTGTGTAACCAATTCACTGCATTACATCCCCGTCTGCTCAGATACTTAGATTGAGTTCGGTTTTTCTGGTTAGACTCTGCCTGGTATACTGAGTTTCACATGTAAATTCAAGTTCACATTCTCGCCTCCTCTCTTTAGCAATTGTGTTTTAAAGGGCTCCCTGACTTACACAAAAATATTTAAAAATACAATCCTTTCCTTGGTCTCAGGGCCACCTGTCAGTTGGAGACTTGTGACATTGGACCCTTTGAAAGCAAGGACAGAGCCAACCACGGAGGTGTAGCATACACAGGTAAAACCAGTCACTAGCAGGCAAACCAGCACCCCACATGGTACTCAGACCGGATGGCCCAGCACTGCTCCTCAGAACCACCTGCTCCTGGCTGTCATCTGTGACTCCAGCTGAGTTTAGACATACAGATCTCCCTCATGTTATGATGGGGGTGATGTCCTGACATA